CTGGGTGATGAATGCCTTAGTCAATCTTTTCAATGAGCGGATGCGAGTTCTATCAAGCTAAACATACCCATATAGTGGTAATGCCTGTTAAACTATCTTGGAACACATAAATCATAAGCTTCTTAAAGTATGTGTAACCTTTTTTCAACAATGTATTGTGACATAAGTCATAAGGCATTTAGTCCCATCATACTTATCATATTTAGGGACTTTAAACTTAGGTGAAACCACCAAATCAGGTACCAAATACAATTCAGATGCATCTATAGACCCATAAAAGTCTATCCTTTTAATAGCCTGGAGTCTCTCTGCTAGTAGATTCATCTATTGAGTGGAAGAATCTTTCACTACCTTAGAAATACTCATATTTAATTTTTCCTATTCTTTGGGATCATCCAGATCAAGAACTAGACTAAAAGAAGGATTGATATAAGCTTGGAACTTTTTTTGGGGAACTATAAATGGCTTTTTAGGCTTTACATATAGATATGCCCCAAAAAAAGGAAATTGTTGTACTTGTGCCTTTTTAGATGTTTGGGCCTAGCATAGGCCATACCTAAGATGGTGTAAAGAGTTTATAACATCTTGGGATAAGTGATTTGGCAAAGAGGAAGTTACCTCTATAGCTTTTCTTATATTCATTTTATTGAGCATCTTTTAGTTTTTTTCATCTCTTTATTGATTTTTATTTAAGCCTTCTCAACCTTTTTAACTCGACTAGCCTGTTCCTGCTCCATAAGCTTCACTTGAAAACTAATGTTATAGTGATGGTGAGTAGGTTGCTTGGAATTATCTAATGATTAAGCTATTCTTAAACCTTTTTATCACAATTAGGATGTCTTGTTACTAGATGACAAGAATCATCTTAACTTATTAGAAAAATTCTTTTATATGCATGAATAAATACATGAATGCATGTATTGGATGTGATACGTACCCTTTCAATGATGTATGAATGGATGAATGCATGCACATAACAATTTAATGATACATGGATTGATAAATGACTACATGAATGGATGTATGAGTTAATGTTTGCCCTATAATGATTGATGAATGAACAAATGAATGCCTAGGTTACCATGATTATTTTATGATGCATAAATGGATGAATGCATGCATTAGATACTAGATACATAAAAATTTAATGATGCATGGATGAATAAATGTATGAATGTCTTAATATTTGCCATATAACAATGCATGAAATACTAAATAAACTTAAACTCTTTCAACTTTATCATAAAATTCATACAAATGAAACTACAAAAGTTTCTTCATGTGTCCTAACTTAGGTTACACTATAACAATGCGTGGACATGGCTTTAACCTAAAGTTAGCTTTTTATGTTTTTTTTAATATACAAGATTAAGATATTTTAATAATTTAAAAGCTCCCAAATTGTTTCCTACATCAACATCCATTACAGACTAGTAAGGCATTACAATCCTCACCCATGACAGGCTTCAAACGAAAAAAGTTTAATTTAAGTGAGAGTTTTTGCTAGCTCACAAGGAGGTTATGACCTCAAGTATAGGTACTTGCTCTCTCTTAGCAGAAGACAATGTTCAGATAGAGAGCTTATGTATGAAATGCATGTCCAATGCATGTCAAGGAACATAAAAAATAATTTAACAAACTTTCTTGTTAAGACAAATAGATAAAAACAAAAAGAATAAGTAAACAAATTAGTAAACATAAAAAAATTAAAAAATAATTAAATTAAAACCATCAAAATAAGGCTTGAAAAAAATCCAAGGTTTAAAAACTAGCTCAACTCTCCAAGTCCCCTACTGAGTCATCAAACTATTATAATACGTAAGTCTTAGAACTTACCAATTAGACACAACCATTGAGTAGCCACCAATATTTTTTTTTATCTAGGTGTGATCGACATCTTAATTGAATCTATCCCTTTTAACGTTATCCTAAGTTGACTAAGAATTTCTAAAAAGAATAGGTTCTGTCTTCTAAATAGAACTGGATTTGAGAGTTTCGTTACATGTATGAAAGGTTAAGACCTGCATAATGCCCACAAATTGATACCAATTAATCTTAATTTATTTTTTTAGCCTTAATTCAATGTTCTATTTCTCCTAATTCATTTTTATTGTTTTTGTTAATTTAAATATTTTAATATTGGACATATTTTTAGGTTTTCTCTAATACTTTGATGGACTTCCTAAAAGTATTTTTTCACTTCAAAAGTATTCAAGTAATACATCCATTTCTTTGAAAAGGCTCCGTCATTGGATTTATTAAGTATTTTGTGAAAAAATATACATATAAATACATGATAATATATATAGTTAAATTCATAATAATAAAATATAATAATCAAATACAAGATTTAATACATGTAATTCCAATTTATCCAATAATTAATTATGCAAGAAAATCATATCATTGCAATTTATTCCAATTTTATTTTTTCAAATTAGAAATAAATAAAATTTCTTATAGTAAGACCAATTTTTAAATCCTCTAACATCATAATCGAATTTAAAAAAAATCATTTTACTTAAAAATTTCAAAGAAAATTATACGTCTATAACTTAGAATTTCATCATTAGATGAAAATTTATTCATCCTTAATTATTTTATTTTATTTAACAAGTTAATTAAACAAATACTTTAAAAATTACAAAAAATAAATTACTTAAAAAATAAAAAAATCAAAATAATAAAAAAATCAACTAAAATACCTAATAAAGGAATTGAGATGATTCTACCACACTAGCCCAAAGATGGAACGAGCTCTGCACAATTAATGGCCCAAAGTAGTACGGCGACGTTGATATTAATGGACCCAATCAAGTCTGGTACAAATTTACAGAAGCTACCTTCTTTATTTCTTCTTTTCTTTGTTACTTTTCATACTCACCGTTTCGTGCTTCTTCTTAAAACTAAAACAAAAAACAAAGCCTTTTTTATTCTCTTGCTTCTATTCCCCGAATCAAACCCAATAGCAACCTAAACCTTGGCGAGACATCGGTGCTACTGTCGCCGCCGTTCAGCACTGTCTAGAAATCCAAGTAAAACCTTCTTCTGTTTTGGCCAAGATTGTGCCCCTGTTTTCCACCAGTAAAACAACGTAAAACCTTTTCTTTTCTCTTGCTTCTATTCCCCGAATCAAACCCAATAGCAACCTAAACCTTGGCGAGACATCGCTGCTACTGTCGCCGCCGTTCAGCACTGTCTAGAAATCCAAGTAAAACCTTCTTCTGTTTTGGCCAAGATTGTGCCCCCTGTTTTCCACCAGTAAAACAACTTAAAACCTTTTCTTTTCTCTTTCCTAACTCTCTAACTAGACTTACCAAAAGCATACAAAACGTTGCATTCTCTATCTTTTCTCTGATCAAGAATCCCCAAAAAGTATACCTTGAAGGTACTACCAAAAAGCCTTTTTATTAATTTTTTTTTTTTTTGGTGTTTGGTTACTTTTATGTTTTTGGTAGTTCTCTATGTTATGGCTACTAAATTGCTTGAGTATTGGAGGGCTGTGTTGTGAGCTTTTGTGCGGAATGTTGCTAGACTTGGTTAAGCTGATAAGAGATTGAAGAAGGTTGAGTCAATTTCTTCAGTTTCTTGCTTGTAATTGAACTTTTTCACTGCCCCTCTTCACGAACTTTTCCTCTTGATACCATTTATTGTGAAAATATTGTGCTGAATTAATAGAGAAGACACCCCAACTGTGAAAGAGTTTCTTATCAACAAGGTCTCACTTAAATATCGACACTTTCAATTTTTTTCCAATTCTCCTTGGGTGAAGTCTCAGCCAAACAAATTTATTTTTTCTTTTTAAATAATAATAATTCCAAACTAAATACAATATCAAAAATAAAATAAAATTCAAAACTGAATTTTAAAATGTGAATTGACTTTAGACTAAATGAGTGTTTATAAGCATCATTTTGAATTTGATTTGGACAGAAAATCATCATAAATTATTAATGATGATATATTGAATCTTATGAGTTTTAGCAAAAAAAGCATAGTAAAAATAGTAATAAAAAGAGAAATGTAAATCATGAAAAAATTTAATAGAATCTAATTCTTGTTTTTTCTCTCCCTGATTTTTTAAATTATGTAGCAAATAAGGCCTACCTCATAATGATGTCAAATTTTGTATTTATTGTTTTATCTATCCCGAATTGAATCAACGAATGGTTTCAATAATAATAACAGCAAATTAAATTTTATATCTAATAATTCTGAAGTCAATTATATGAAAAATAAAAAAACGAATCATGTTAGGTAATAATTTTAAATTTTTTTATGTTATTTATTTATATCAAAAATAATTTTTTTATATATTTTTTTAACTATCGTATTATTTTTTATTACCTCTATTTACATTTTTCATAATCTATCACTAAAAATTTTGATCTTTTTCAAATTTAAAACTCATTTCTCCTAATTAGTATATAAATAAACTAACGTTTTACATATTCAAATCATCTCAAATGAATCTCTTTTTCATTTTTTTTTTTTAATTTATACTACTCATAATTTTCTTTGAATCTTTCAATTATAATTTTATTTCTTCTAACCTAACAACATATCCATATAAGAATTTTAATCTCAATTATACTATATTTTTTCTCATGGTGTTTCTAATAGCCCAACACCCTATCCCATATAACAATAAATTGAGGATTAATATTTTATATGCTTTTTATATATACATTGTGAATGAAAATTTTAAATTCTACAAGCCATTTTAAAATATTGTCATATGTTTTTTTATTAATTTATCATATAAATTTATTATTTTTTGATATACTATAATAAATATGCTATAACTCTCTAGTCTTGCTAGACTTCATCAATATGTATCGAATAATTTTCTTCATATATCATTACCAAAATTTAATTTATCATTGACAAAATTTTATCAATAAAAATTTTTTATCAATAATTATTGACTAAACATAATTATTAAAAAATTTTAATCATTATTAACGGAATTTATAAATGAATTTCATTCCATCATAATCTGTGAGCTAAAATTTGGTGAGAATTAACGTGAAATTATTGATAAAATTTTTTGTCGATAATTAATTATTAGAAAAGAAATTCTGAAAAAAACTTTAAAAGTGAACGATTACCGACAAAATCACCGATAATCTATTGAAAAATGAAAAAAAAAAAAATTTAAAACCCAATTCCTGAATCAGGAGCCTATTTGTACCTAAAATCAAAATCCATAAACTCTCTCTCACTCTTCCATCTTACCCTTTCAACCTTGAATCTCCTTATCTCCGACCGCCCCTCTCTCATCGTACGTTCGGTCATTATCAGTTCCGTGCTCCACCGCAGTCCTCTCCCCAACCGTTCTTCATCATGGGCGATCTCCACCATCGGTATAATACATTTGATTTTTCAAGTTTTTTGTTATCTTGTTTTATTGAGATTATTGTTCTAACTTTTTTCTTATCCTGTTTGAATAGGATTAAGGTTGTGCTATGATTCAAGAGGGATTTTCAACTCATAGATTTTTTTTTTGTAATTTTTTATATAGAAATTTGATTTTTTTAAAGTTTTTATATTTAGTATTTTTTCTCAAGATTGATAATGATTGTTGAATTAAACAATTATTGTATTAGTCTCTGAGCAGATTTTTTTTTTTTTAATGTCTGTGAGCAGCCTTTGTTTCTATTTTATTAGATGAGATTTTTACCATTGTTCAAGTTCTAGTTTCTTCTTTAATTAGATTCATATTTGATTCTTATTTTTCCTCTTCTTATTGTACTCCCGCTTTCACTCAAATTGTTTGGCTAATTGAGGTCTCTGTTTATCATATAAGGGTTGTGCACATTTATGAAGCAACATTGACAAAGCGGATAGTTGAATTAGAGAATATAGACTCCGGAAGCTTAACAGTATGTGTGTTTTTATATGCACATGACAATATAAAACTGCATTATACCAGAAAACTGGTAATAGAATAAGGTTATAAAAGTAACTCTGAAGAACCATATTCTGACCTAACTGATGTTTAAAATAATTCAGGATTTTTCTTTTGTGATGTTGATATGACTTCCTAGCTGCATATGGTCCTAAGTCAAGCATGTTGGCCTAATCTGATCGATATAGCCAGCATCATTTTATGGGAAAAAGCTTTGCTATTGCTGTTGTAATTGTAACTTGTTTCAACGCTGTTGTTATTTTCTTACAGTAGAATTTGATCTGTAATCTTTATTGTTAATGTTATTTGTGTCCCCTGTAGGAAAAGTATAATGCTGATTTTTATCATTCCCACTAGTGTTATGTTGAATTTATTGTATTCTGCGCTTTGAATTTTTTTTTCTCCAATGCATTTTGGATCTAAATTTTGATTGCATTTTTTTGAAAATTCCTTAAATTTTAAACTTGCGACCAGATTGGGGAATTTATGGAAAAGGATAAGGAGCTTCGAACTAGTTCATTAAATAAAAAAAAAAAAGGCCAAATACTGGGTCAAAAGAGGCTGGTATACATGAAGTGCTATGTAAGCATGTGAAGAAAAAACCTTTTGCCTATGGACTTTGTGAAGAATGTTATGAAGAGGTGAGCTCTTATGTTCTTTCCTATGCTTTCCTATCTTCTTTTGCCCACTACAAATGTACCATTGGAAACTGTTTTATCATCCAAGTTAAAGTTCATGCTATAACTGGTTGATGCAGTTTATGAAAGTTTCAGGTGGACTTGATGAAGGATTAGATCCACCTACATTCCAGTGTGCTAAAAAAGTGAGAATAGAAAAATTATCTGAGGAAAATGCTAATGTAAGTGCTGTGATTATACCTTTCTAAAGGCTAAAGGATAATGAATGGTAGAGAATTTACATTATATTCTCTTCATGTATTTCAGATTCGTAGATTCCACATAAGCATGTGAAAATTATTCTCTTCCACTGTGTATCGCTCTCCCTTCCTCATGTGCTAACAGATTTTTTTAATTTTGGACTGTCGTTCATTTCAATTTAATCACTTAGTAAATAGGATTTTGTTTGTAACAAGGTTATGCTGCTTAATTATGTGAGATTAAACAATCTCAAATTCTTGTGACAAGATGCATGAATCTTTTTTTCCATCGAGTTTTCTTTTGCTATACTTTTTAGTTTCTTTGATATAAGTTATCTCTAACATTGTTCTAGCAGTTATTCTTTAGCATAATATTTCATTGTTTTGGTTGTTTTTGATAATTCCAGAGTGTATCTAGCAGTCCTTTTGCAAGTAGACCTGAAAGACCTGGAAACATTGTAAAAGTTTTTTTATGAGTAATCATGCTTTAAATAGTTTAATAATTGGATTTTTTTTTTTCCAAATGTGCAAGATCTTTTATTGGAAAGTGCATTGTTTCAGGGGTTTTAGGAGGTGCAACTAACCAGGCAGCCATCGGTAAGGGTGACAATGATAGATTACCCAGAGTTGATGTCAGTTATGATGAATCAGATAATTTTTGTGATATTGATGATTTTGAGGTAGGGAATGAGTCTGATTTCTGGTATTTTGACATTGCATTGTCCATATGAAAATCAACAAGAAAAAGTACCTCTTACTCAAGCTAAGCCACTTAACTAGGTGGCAAACTAATTACATTGGTTACAAATTCTAGTCTAATGGCATATTCTTTTTAAGATGTTTAGAATTAAATAAATTCATTATATCAAGTGATTTGAGCTTTGATCTGGCTTAAGTGTTTTGTTTATTTTACTAGGATCAAATCATTATTTTTGCCCTGCATCCATGAACCATCCAAAATGTTATACCCATGCATCTATTGAAGTTAGTTGGTCTTAAATTCAGCTTTGAATCATCCATGAACAGAACCAATACAAAAATGTGTGGGTGTGTTGTGTGTGTTCTTGTAATCAGCACCACTATTGTTATATTTTCTTCTAGGCTGCTTAGCATAACTTAAGTCTTAAGAAATACAAACTTACCAAATTGAAAAGAGAAAAAGATGTCATAACTGATTAAAATTTATCTGAATTAAGTTTATTGTTCCAGTGTCTATTCTTAAGTATTTAGAGTTTGGTTCCTTAATAAGTTTCTATGGAATTGAGTTTGATTGGTCAGGCTTTGAATCAACCGTACTTACCTGAAATTTAGTCCTACAAGTCATATTCATTCATGTACCTTTTCCCTATATTGTTCATTTCTTTTAGCATGTTTATGTCTGTAGTAATGCATGCATGTTTTAAATTTACAAATGCATGATTATTGTATGAATGGCATGCATATCTTTTTATGTGAAAAACGTGAATTAGAGACTGTTGGTTGATTTGTGATGCGTATGGAACCACACTAACTATCAATTATCTTCTTAATTTCGATGTCATTTTCTTATTACACTTGGGATTTACTCAAAAGTTACCTTTTCAGGTTGATGGCTATCTTCACAATAAGGAGAAGCGATTCAGAAGATAATTTGGGAAGAAATGAACCGGGAATACCTTAAGGTGATGTGAATCATGACTTTGTTGAGTGTGGCATCTCATCAAATGTATTTTGGCCTACTATAATGTAGTCTCACACTTTAAATGTAGTATTCATGACACTGGCATGTGGTCAAGTAATAATGTGCATCATAAGAAGCATTTAGTAAATCTTTCTGGTTAAAAACATCTATAAGAGGATGATTTCTCGTAGATTAATAATTCAGATATATTTGAGTGTTGAGGAGACAAAGACTATTAGATGGTTTTAAACATCTTGTTATGTGGTTATATTGAGGCCTGAATCATGAGAAATTGTTTGATATTATTAATTTGAGGCTCTGTGGTTGTGTTTAGTGAGAAACAAGTGAATGAGACAACTCGACTTTGCTTTCATGACTTCATTGGGAGAATAAAAATCTTGATGATGCTATATGTTTAGTTTGCTATTTTTTTCACAGGAACTCAATTATACTGCAATCTTTTGCAGGAACAAGCAGCGAAGGAAGAAGTCGCAGCAGCTGTCAGGAAGTTTGTACGGTCAACTATGATAAATGTCAAGTGGTTTTAGATTAGGGTGTTTTATGGATTTTGTGGATATTTTATGGATGTTAGGGATGTTATGGATAATTTAGATTATTTTTAAATTTATAATGTGGATTTGATATTTTAATTAATAATAATTGAATTTTTAAATAATTTTATGTGTTTAAATTGTAATTTACAGGATGGATTTTATTGTCAAAATTTTAGTATGACTGATGGAATTTAGGCCATCAGGGACAGAATACCAATGGATTACAGACGAAATACTAATGGATTTCAGACGAAATATTGATAGATTTATCAACAGAAAGTATCATTTAGTGATCGATTATCAATTAATTACCGATAAATTACTGATGGTTTAACAACAAATTATCAACGGATTTTATACATGGATTATTAATTAATTACCAAAGGATTTAACTAATGGATTATTGACACTTTTATCATCGAATTTTATCAACAAATTACAATTTGAATTACCGAAGGATTTATTACTCATGGAATTTATTGATAAAATTTCGTTAGTAATTACTGATTGATGGAATTTATTGACAAAATTTCGTTAGTAATTACTGATTGATTTTACATATTACAAAATAATATTATCGACTAATCTATCACCGACGGAAATTTTCGTCGTTAAATTCTGTTTATAATACTGGTATCTATGAAAAACATGATATTATTGACGAAAACTTCGTCGATAAAAGTCAATTTTTTGGTAGTATATAGCTAAAAATACAAATCAAATGTGTACTGAATGAAGGGTATGCAGACAGCGCAGCATTGCAAATGGCAAGCATCACCTCCTAATATTATGAAAGTAAACTTTGATGGTGCACTAAAAAAAGCAGAGAATCTTAACGGAATTGGAGTGGTGACGAGACACAAAAAAGGCATGGTGCTAGGTGCTGTATCAACCATGGAAAAAGGGGTGAAAGAACCTATGGTGGCTGAGCGCTTGCTGCTATTAAGGCCATTGAAACTTCTAAGGAGATGGTGTTAATGTCTATCATACTTAAAGTTGACGTGTTGAGCATGTTTAAACGTTTGAAATCGGTAGAAAATGACCTGTCTAGTATTAGACACTTGATGGAAGAAGCAAGAGTAATGCTGGTAGAGTTTCATTCCTATAAGGTAGTCCATGTTAAGAGAACAACAAATGAAGCAGCACACACAACTTGGCCAAACACGCACTGAATGCAAAATCAACTATGTATTGGGTTGAGGAATGCCCTTCCATCATTCAAAACATTATTTCATCTGATTGTAACAGTCTTTGAGTATAAATTGAAATTTCTGAATTTCAAAAAAAAAAAAATGTTAATTCAAACTTTATTTATTAAATCAATTACTTGGTTGAATAAATGATTCTAAGATGTGGGAGAGTTCTCGAAAAAAATCTTAATTTTTAAAATTTAATGTAGTTATTTAACTTAAAACTAATTTGTAATAAGTGAAAAGTATTTGTTATCTAATACTTTTGTAGACATTTCATAATTTTGTTCAGGAAATTTTGAATAAAATTTGACCTTTCATTTTTATTATTTTTTAAAAATTTTACCATTTTCTATTTCAAGAATTTTATATTAAAAATTGATACATGCGTTTGTATGAAAATTAAAGTAGCATTTGATATCATTTTTAAGATCACATAATAATGTAATTATCAAAATGATCTTATTATTAAAGTGAGTTTATTGCTCATGACTTTTTTTTTTTTTGAAATAAAACTTTCATTCGTTCACCAAGCATCAGTGCATCATTAAGAATGTTTTGAGATATTATACTAGGATAATCCTCAACCCAGAATCTATCAACAGCACATCGTTACCCATGTTCTGCCAGCTTGTGTACAACCATGTTTCCTAGCCTATTGGTGTGAGAGATGCTGCTTGAGGAGAAACGAGATACCTAGCACTTGGCTTCATCTAGGATTGGCCCTATTAGGATAAGTCTGGGCTTCTATTTGTAACTCTTTTATTATAGCCAATGCATCTCCTTTTAAAACAATATACGTGAAACCTATTTCTTAGGCAACCTTCAATGCACTTGCAGCAGCCATAACTTTCACCATGAAAAGATTGCTGACGTTGCCAACTCTCAAAGAAGCAGTTTCAAAAACTTCCCCCTCTGAACCCCTTATAGCAATATTGATTCCTTCAATCTTGTTTTGGATATCTATTGGCTCGTCGAAATTCACCTTGGCTGCATTATTATTAGGAGGTTTCCATGTCTAAAGTTCTCTACCTTTTTTGATGTTTTTTTATCTGTGCAGTAGCATATTTCCTCAAATAAGTATGAACAAAAGTCGCAGTCTCTTGCGAGTCCATACTTCTCTCTCCATGTAGCTCTTTATTTCTTTCATTCTATATGGCACATGTTGTGACGATGTGGATTTGTAAGTCCTTTTGGTTCAAGGAAAGCCATGAGTGTGTTATCCAGCTTGCATCATCATTTGCAACATTACATCTGCCCAATGTTAATTGTGTTAGGCTCTAAACAGCTTCTGCATGGTGACAAGTTCAGATGGCATGCATCACTGTTTCATTTTTGTACCGCAGCGACGGCAAATCCTTGACTCAGCCACTTTCCTTCTACACTGGTAATATCTCGTGCAACACCTTCAAGAATAAGACTTTGATTTTATTTGGGACATCCGCCGGCCATACTTTTTTTTAAGCCACACTTCTGGTATTCTCATTCTCCTCTTCATGTATCAGCTTGTATCCATTTTTGACAGTATAGTTGCTTTTGTTATCAAAATGCCACACAAGCACATCAAGCCTTCCTGTTTAGCTAACAAGAATCTCGCAAATAGCTTTTGCCTCATCTTGTGAAAAACTATTGTGGACGATGTCTCTTTTCCTTTGCGAGGTTTGGGTATCTATTAATTCTTGGACTAAACTATTCTCGTCCCTCCCTGTTCTATCTGATTGTACCACGAAGGAATTGGTTGTTGGAAGCCATTTGTCTTTCCAAATCCATATGTTGTTGTCATTCCTCACTCTCCACCTTATCCCTCACTTTAGGACTGTTTTGAAGCCCCATATGCTTCTCCATGTCTAAGAAAGGTTGGTTCCAATTGTAGCTTCAAGAAAACACTCATTAGGGAAATATTTGGCCTTAATTAAGTACTTGGTATGAAACTTTGTCTGTTTAAGTTAATAGTCTCCATCCTTGCTTGCCCAACATTGCCTTATTGAAAGATTCCATGTCTCGAAATTCTAGACCCTCTTTGCTCTTTGGTAAGCAAATTTTCTTCCAATTTAACCAGTGAAAACCCTTGGCCTTATCTTCTTGTTTCCAGCAATATTGCTAATGATTCCGTTTATCTCATTACATAAGGATTTCGATAGAATGAAGCAATTTATTGCATATGCTAGAACTGCTTGGATTACTATTTTTATGAATATTTCTTTACCACCTTCAAAAAAAGGATAAATGCTTAATTTATGATTAAATTTGTAGATGATTGTTCCGTTTAAGACTGTTGTAACGGTTTTGGGACCGCTAGACATAAAGAATTTTAAAATTGAGAAAAAAAGGAAAAGTCACTATCAATCTTTTTTAGGGTGTGATTGACCACTCAAAAGTTTATCTTTTAAATAAACTATAAAAACAAGTATAAAGTTTATCGAAAGACAAATTTTGGTCTATGAAAATAGATCTTGAGTTCAAGAGTCGGTTACGCGTGGAGAAAGATTAGCACCCCTACAATACCCATAAATTGGTATCAATTAATTATGCACTATTTTCAGTTTTGGATGAAATGGTTTCGATTTGAAATTTAATACTAATTTCATTCATTTTAAAATAAATTTTTGTTAAAATTCTTTATTTAGGAATACTGAGGAAATCTTTAAGTTAATAAATTATCTTAAAATTCTTCAACATTTAGGTAGAATTTAGAATAACTCTTTTCATTTAAAATTTAACACAATATTCGTTAAAATAAAAAAAAACACTTTTTGTAAAAGATAATTGTTGGTTACTTTTCGACATCTAGGCAGAGTACCAAGAATTATTTCCTCTAAAATGTTATTTTTGTCATATTTTATAATATCACAATTTTAAAAGTAAGTAAATTAAAAAAAATTTTGTGCGAAAAAGTAAATGATGGTATTATCAGATAACAAGTAAAAATTAAAGACAAAGAAATGTAAATGAGTGCAAACAATAATAAATAAATGCATGCAAGCCAATAGGTGTCGTGTATGATGATAAAATGCAAATTTAAAAATTGGATTCTTAAATATAATGAGACCATATTGACTTCTTAATATTTAGGCAGAGCTTAGGTGTGATTATTCATTTTTAAGATCCTATTTTATTATTATATTTTTTTTTATCAATTATTAACACCATTGTTAAAACGAATTAAGGACTCATGAGAAAAACTTAATAGAATAAGATTTCTTTAAATGCCCATCATCTAAACGGCATTCGAGAACAAATTACTCCACTTTAGATTTTCGCATGTATCCTTAAAGTTTTGAAATGGTTTTGAGTATAGGTCTGGGTCGAGGTTTTAAGACTTGCATGATTTTTGGGCAATGATTCAGTATTGTGTGCTAAATTTAGGGTTTTATTTAGGGTTTTAGAGTTTTGAATTTTAAGGTTTTGGGTTTTAGGGTTTGAAATTTTAGATTTTAAAAGTTTTGGATTTCAGGGTTTTGAGAATCTATGGTTTTAAGGGTTTGGTTTTAGGGTTTGGGATTTTGATGTTTGAGGTTTAGAGGAGTTTAGGGCTTAGATTTTTGAATTTTGGGGTTTGAGATTTTAGGGTTTCAATTTAAGGGTTAGGGATTTAATGATTTGGTTTTGGGGTTTGGAGGATTTAGGGTTTTGTTTTAGAGTTTGGAGGGTTGGGGTTTTGTTTTAGGGTTTGAGGTTTTTTTGAATTTAAAAAACGAAAACATCTCTAAAAATCTTCAATATCTAGGGGGACTTTCGAAGCAAATTCGATTTTTATGACTTTTAGAAATTAATTAAAAAATTTCATATATTTCCTTTTTTATGAAAATTTATTATTATTATTATTATTAATTAATTTTATAATTTTTCAACATCTAAATGAAATTATTATTTTTTATTATTTAAGTTATTATCATTAAAAAAATATCAAAATTTGAAATCAATTTTTTATTATTGTTATCATTATCAATTATTATTATAAAATAACAAAGATTTATTCTAACAA